TTATCTCTGGCCACACCAGCAACGTGAAATGGGGAAAATGGCTGAAAGGTGGGCTAAGGGCCTGAACAACCCTTAAATCACATTTTGCCTAATTTTTCGCTGTCAAAAAACCTCATTAATCTTTCCCAGCCTGGCAATGGCATGAAAATGGAGCAGGATAAAAAAAACATACGAGGAAATTGCTTAATGGGGGGACTCCCCCCCAGAAACACACCCAAAGCTGAATTTTTTATACACTTCGAGGAAAATTGTCAATAAATATTGTACTTTTGTAAGCAATTTCACGAAAACTTTTTTAATTACTTAATTTATTAAAATATATATATTACAAAATGCCACTATTTAGGAGCTTATTGTAGTTTATATATAATAAATCATAATTGCCTTATAATCGAATGTATAAGTTTGCTTGAGAAATAATGTTTTACAAATTCAAAATACATAAATTGCTAAAAATGCATCAAAACTACATTCAATGCTAAATTTCCCTGAATTTTCGTGGTGTATATAGCTATAGCTCTGACGGCCCTTTTGTTTTACCTTGTGGAGTTCGAGAAGTTGCCCTTGAAAAATTGGTGGCTCGTATGTCAACCCCCGAGAAGAAGGAGAATAAGACGAGATTGGGTGAGAAGCAGAAAGTTAGTCAAACTGAAAAAGTCGAACGTGTGTAATTTATTTAAATTTAAGGGGACCCGGCTCAGAAGTCAAGAGTTTTCGAGTGCGTAACGCTCTGTTTTTCCACTCCATTCTTCCTTCTTTTGGTACTATACTTCAACCCCTTTTTTCGGCCCACTTGAATATTGATTTCTTGCGTAATCTTTGTGGCACGCCCACACCTCCCACCTTTTTCCGGTGATAGTGTCGTTCTTTTGCCCCCATTGACGTTTCATATTTATTAATGAGGCGCATTTGTGTTTGGAATTTATAATTGGGGGGATGGGCGGCTGCTTCTTGTACTTCTGGGGGCTCAAATGTAATTGAGTAATTAACATAAATTATAATACATAATTTGCGCTCGCCTTTTTCCGTAATTGTTGTTAGGTAAATTGGATTACAGGCAAGCTCGCCAAAGTTTTACCCCCCAGTTCCCTATCAGCATAAATGAAAATTATTGTTTAGGCCCTATCGTGCAGTACATATATATGCTCAAAGGAGAATTGGAAATGCGATAAGCAATTTGTGTTCAAAGTTTCAGCCGCTGAAAAGTTTGCCAAGCATTTTGTTTGTACGTCGCTCAGAGCGAAGTCAAACTAAATCGAAATCAGCACAAATTCTCAGAATGATGCTTACAATAAAATCACAGCAAATGTGTGTGGCGACAAAAGGGGAATTTATTGACAGGGAAGGGGGCATCATCAAAAGCAGATTGCCGCTTTTTGTCCTTCAAGCAGGGTAGTGAGAGCTATTAACGAAATTGTGGGAACATATTATGAACGTACACTCATTTCTACGATTATTTAGATTCTGATTTTGTGATATTACATTTTTAAACATAGGTAGTCTTGAAAAAGTTTTTTTTTAATATTCATCAATATTAAAAACTTACAACTAAATAGGTTACAACCTTTTCATTTCAATTCACTAATCTTTTCCGAAAGTAGGGTATAATCTGGTCCTTAGAACCGGCAGACATTTATCAAATAAGCCGAGCACATGACACCGCAAGCCCGCTTCTACTTGATTGCTGCTTTTCCGGATGTTGTTGGTTTTTCTTGCCTTGCTTTGTGGGCAGAGTCGCTGGGGCAGTCATCCGTCAGAAGTGGAAAGTTGGCAGTTGGAGCAGCAACCCCGACGCCATGTTGAATTTTCCTCTGTGGCACCCAGCCGGGTCCTTTAAATGTGCGTTTGTATCTGCGGCTGTTCCCTGGTATCATCCCACCTTGTTGCTGCCTGTCGCACACACATCAACAGCAGCAACATAGGCAGCAGCAACAGCAACATCTACAGCAGCAACAGCAACAGCAACTCGAGATACAGCAACATCATCGCTGACATCGGTAACGCTTCTGGGATTTTTGGCCCATAAGCGAGTGTGAGCGAGTGTGAGCGGGACGCCAAATGGCAACTCTGTGCATAATTTTGCGCCTTGTTGTCATGTTTCAGGACTCCCGTCCAGGCTCCTTGTATATTCACGTGCGTATGTGTTTTTGTTGGGCCTTGTAAAATGTAAATAAATGCAAAGGGACACGACCGAAGGGGAAATCACTTTTGTTTGGTTAGTTAGATTATTTAAATAGGTTTATGCGGTGGCAACAGGTCAAAAAAGGTTATTGATAAGCAGTAAAATATTACAATATATATTGGAACTATTAAATAAACCATAAAATAAGCGTATCCTATTCTAACGATTGCGTAACTGGACATTAGAGCTTAATTTGTTAAGGTAAAAAAAACATTCTCAAAATGTTAAGCATTTTTTTTTATAATTTAATAATTATTTAATTAATTTAAGCCTAGAATATGTTTGAATTGCTATAAAAATGCATTGCTTAACAGCACTAAAATCGAAAGCTACATTTGTTTGTAATTCAGCAAAACTTTTTAACTTCTCATTAAAAGTTTGTATAAAATATAAGGTATTACCTTAAAAATTTGTGAGTCTTATGCAAAAAAAAAACGATTTAATGTTATTAATTTTTTTTTATTATCTAACAAAAATATAACTAAAAATTTTTTTTTGAGGTAGGATCATAATGTTCGCTCCGCACAAACCATTTTAAAGTGCGTATGCTGGGGGCATGAGTTTTGGGTGGTATCTCCAGTTCTGGTTTCAACGCCTTGTTGTAAAAGCTTTTGGTTTCCGCCCTCTAACCCCAAAGGGGTTTTCTTTGAGCCCCGCTCCAAAAATATTTACCTATTCCAGGGCCCTCTTTTCCGAGTTGCGTTGCTTACGCAGCTATCATCAGGCCAGAAGACAACAATTCCAAGACAAAAAACCTCCTCCAAAACAGTAGCCTCTTTTCACCCCTCGAATTCCTGGTGCTGCCAAGTTAAGCGTCAAAAGTTTTGATAGCCTGTGAGCTGCCTACTCAAGTGACTTGGCCCCCTTTCCTTCGGCTTCAGTTCAACGTTTTCTTTTAAGGAACGCAGCCCAAGAAGCCAGTCGGCATTTTTCATTTTTAGTTGGGCAAATTTTTAACACAAAACTTTTATGTAAAATGTCTTCCCAGATAAAAGTTTAAATTGTCAATTGAAAATGTTGTTTGGCAAAAGTTTTTTTGATTAATTTTCACAACGCTGCGTTGACAATAAAGCGATGGGCGGAAAAGCGAAGAGGGAAAATTCAGCGAATGCGGCACAAGGCAAACAAACAATTGAGCACATTAACGCTTAGAGATACACAGAAAATGGGGAGGGAAAAATGGAAGAATAAAGAAAGAAATGAAGGGACTACAGCGATTTGCATGTGAATGTGTTGAAATAGAATTTGATGACGAAAACAACAAAGAAAAGTGAATAGCAAATAAATTAAAAGGAATAAAAGAGAGAGTTTTGCAATGAAAACGAATAAAGTATTGGAATAAAATATTCATTAAAATTGAATAGATCTGTGAAGCTTAAACTGAGGAAGTTTTAATGATTTTTAAGCAGATTTGATATACTTTATACTTTTTTTTTCAACCAATCATAATAATTTTTTTTAACTTTTTAAAAAATAACAAATGGCTTGGAGTTTTTAACTTAACCCAAAGTTAGCTAACACTGCTTATTAAATTCCAATTCTGGTTTAATCCAAATGGCATCTAATTCCTTTTCACATATAACTTCTCTACTCTTGTTGTTGGATTTTTTGTGTGTCTCATCCTTTGTCAAGCTCATTGCCACTTGCCTCGACTTTTCCTCCCTTTGATTTAGTGTTCGAAAAGCTATTTTGTACAATTTCCACACGATTGATTTCGCAAATTTTCGCCGCAACAGAGTCTGCAGGCTATATTTATACTCCGAATCCCAAAAAGCCCACAAAAAGTGGAGGGAATACAGGTTCTACACTTGTAATGCCTTATGCCCTGTAGCCACAATTACCCAAAAAGCCGAACCATTTCCAATTTCAGTCCCCAAAATCCACAACCACCCCTTGCTCACACACGCACACTCCCACAAGCTACTTTTGGGGGCAAGGGTGGGTGATTTTCTAGGACTTATCGACTGGCAGATATCTCTGGTAATGCAATTAAATCGCTCCCCAACATTTTCGGTTTGTCCGTCCGTTGGGCAATTCATAAATATTTTATTTGCCCATCACACCCTTTGACCTACTCGAAAATTTGTTTCAGAAAAGAAAAACGAGAACGTTAAAGTAAAAGCAAATCCTTAGAAACAAAAAAAATTTATTTAAAAAGTATATTTACTATTTTTCTGAAAAAATTCTAAAAAAATGTTACGCGGAAATAATAGGAACTAACACGTTTATTAATACTCATTTTCTGTAATTTTACAACCACAGTCCTAGAATTTTATCCGCATGTGTACGACGCACACGAAAAAAGGAAGCATAGATATTGCGTATACGCCACCATGGCTATTTAATATGGTTTTTTCTACGTTACGTTCTTCACTATTACTAAAAGCCCGAGCAATGGCAGGCAAATTGCTTTTCGGCCAAGCACTCTCTGTTTGGCCATCACATTAGAGCTGCATAAAGTTTCCGGTTCGATGTCGTTCTGTTGCGTTAGCCCCCTCAACCGCCGAGACAAAGGGTTAAAAAGGTGCGGTTAGCCTGAGAGTCGCGGTTCCTCGGTTTGGAAAACCAGACCATACCATGCCATACCATACCATCCAAACCAACCCCCGAAAAATCCGGACACCAGCTGCATGTGCTTTGCTGTCTTCCTTGTTTGCTCTTCCTGCCAGTTAAACTTCCTTCCGTTTCTTTGATGTGCCAGAAATTAATTGCCTACAATTAGGCGCTCTGGCAAATGTCACTCACTCACTCAAAAAAAGCCGGAGGCAGGGATAACCCTTCCATTTTCTTACTAATACTAACAATTTTTGACACTTACCGCTATTCCTGTGCTTAGGTGGCTTAAAGGCTTTCCAGCAAATGTCTGCAAAGAGAGAGTGAAAAAAATATGTTCTGTTAGTCCAAAGTTTGAGATGAAGTGACTTTTGAAACCCGACAAAACACATGCCATTACATGGTCATACTACTTGTGCAGACTTGTGGAATGTCTGCCCGTGTCACACGCCTCCCAACCACTGACCAAGGTCCAACTCCAAAGACCTACGCAGAGTCCTGAGACCCAAGAACCAAGAACCAGCTATAACAAGGGAAAAGTTCCTCCAACTTTGCGTCGAGTGCCTTTTGCCTAATGAAAAGAGTCTGTCATTGACTAGAGGAAATGGAAAAGTTTTTCATAGACCAGCCCCGAAAGTGGTAAGAAGGAGCCAAAAGCCTTGTCCAGTTATGGCCTGTGACAGGCAGTTACTTTGGTCTCCTTTTTTATTGAAATAAATAAAAGTAAATGATCGGGAATGGGTAGAAATCGAAGGGAAGCATAACGAATAAAAAACCAGCTTAAATATTCAACCAACCCAAAGTGTCTATAAATCATTGGCCATTGGACGAAAATCTTTTTAAAATAAAACCTTCTTTAGAATCATGAAACCATAAATAAATATAAATCAAATATACTTTGAATCAAAACAGTTAAAAAAAAATAACAAAATTATTATTTGAAATAAAAATATATTTAAATAGTAGTCGATAGCTTTAACCTAAAAGTAACGAACTCTCAGCTCAGACTGCCAATAAATTTCCCATATTCTGGCAATCATACTCTATCTGCAGATCTTTCCGCAAACCTCTCAAATTGAAATGACCATTTCAAACGGACAGTAACTTGCGAAAGTTGTTTCGTGCCAAAGAGGAATTACATTTATTTGCACTGACTTTGTTGCTGGTATCTTATTTGGCTATATTGTTGGCCGAGTCCCTTGACATTTCTAATGGCGCATAGCGCACATATACAGACTGGCCAAGAGAGATTTATTATCAACTGTCATTGTCGGAGGCCCACACACACACCCACCACATCTCTATATATCTTTGGCCACCAGCAATCATTTCCCACTCTCATAGGAGCCGCAAAACATTTGTTATAATCAAAAGTTCTTGACTAACGCGATGGCTGCTGCTTTGATTTCTTTAGTTCTAACGAAAAAAAAAATCACAACTTCTTCGAAATAGTTTTTGCTGATATTCCTTCGACCTCGAACGCAATTTGTTAGGCTTAAGGTTGACAGTTCAATAAGGCGGAATGCCTCTTTAATATCCATAAATAACCCAGCAAACAAAAAACTTACTACCTGAGGGCGCAGGGTTACTAATTACGCATACGCAACGCTGGCTTAGGGGTTGGAAAAGTTGTCGGAAAAGTTCCTTAACCTTCTCGGCACCCTAATGCCACTTCCAATAACTTCTGCTGCAGTTCCCACAAAGTGAAGGAAAAGTCGAAGAAGATGGCAAAAGCGGAGACATTTGCCAAAAATCCTTGCCTCGCCATATATCGTTTTAACATAATTTCTGTGGTAAAATTAACTTTATGAACTGTTGAATGGAACGAGGACGATAGCGAGAAAGAGAACGAGAACGAGAATAAGACTGAGAACAACCCTCGGTGAGTAGCTAGCGTGCGTCTCACAACCTGCCACTTAAAACAAATAACAAAGTTTTGCTTAACTTTGCTCTAGCTCCTGGTCCTCGTCCTGTTTTCTCGTCCTTCGTCCTCCTCTCCGCTCCTGTCCTTTTTTCGCCTCGTTTTATTCAGTCAGCTCTTGGGGGAAATTATGGCCAGACACAAAGCGAAAAGCGTCGTCAACGACGTCGAGCGGCTTTTGTCTTGGGCGGCGGTATGGCATCCAGCAGGAAAATCATCCTCGACAAGGACTATTCCTGCCCGTCTGCCAAGGAAGCGGTATTGCAAAGCAGCAAAGCTTCTCCTGATGGCAAAATTACATATGAAAGTGGATTTCATTAAAAAGAAGTTGGCTGCAGTGAAATATGGCAAGTAAAAGACATTTATCCACGAGAACTTGTCTGTGGCCTAACAGTGTTGACAAGGCTTAGCTAGATTTTATTTAAATGTTCTTATATTGACAATAAAAAAAGCTAATTTGTCTAAGGTCCCAAAACTCTATAAAATAAACTAAATTTTTTTTATTTAAAATTATTATAAACAATTTTAGTTTAATATTAAGCCTTCATTTATAGAAATAAGTTATAGGTATTTGTTATTTTTAAAGATAAATACAAACTAAACATTATTAAAATAAAATATTATTTTTAAGTTTTATTAAATGCCTCTAAAGTTAAAAAAGGCTCTTCCTTCTGTCTTTGGTTCTTATTTTTCCGCCTTTTGATAGCCACTTTAGCATTACCTTTCCAAACTGGCTGCAAAGGAAGATTTCCATCCTTAAGCAAATCCTTGGACAGGTGACGATGCCATGGCGACAGGCAATAAGTTAATGCAAAGTAGTTCGACGTTCTTCACTTTCCTGAGAGCTCAGGCACTTGGACAGGGAGACAAAAGAAATTTCCATCAAAATAAAACGGCAGCAAGACGCTCGCTAATTGGCTGTAATGGGGAAACCCCCGTTTCCCGAATAAATCCACCAAAGACCATGAAATATCATCAACCGTAAAGGTGTAAGAAAAATCGTAATGAGACGTTTGAGCCAAAACACACAATTGCCGGCATTTCAGTTTAAGGCAATTTCGTTAAGCAATATAGCGTTATGGGCGAAAGGCTTTCAACCGTTGAAGGAACCTCTTGTTGAAAGCTTGTGGGCGTACATATAAAGACGGCGCCAACTTCATGAATTTTGAATGAACGTAGTGGGTAGAAAACTAAAGGCAGCAGTTCCCATTTGCACTACACCACCGAAAAACCAAAAAAAAAAAAAAAACAGGAAAACTAAGCGCGAGGGCATTTTCCCGCTGACACAAGACATGGAGGAGCCATCGTTTCCAACTTCCGACGACTACTTAGAGACGCCTAAACAGCTTCATTACTTTTATGGGGCTGACGGCGCGCTTCGTTGGCTCGCCATTGTCTGTTTGCCAGTTTCCCAGTTTGCCGGTTTGAATGTTCGGATGTTCGGTTGTTTGGATGTTTGCCTGCTTCTCTGGCCAGGCGCAAATTTGTTTGTGTAAATTAAATGAAATGACTGTAAAAATGCCAAATGCTAATTTGCGGTTAGTTTTTTTTTGTGTGCCGGCCAGAGTTTATATGTTTACAAATGGGCATGCAAAAAAAGACAAGGAAATTGGGTTCCCTCAGGTTTTGAGTTATGGGATCATTAGTTTGGGGACATTACCAGGGTTTGCACAAAAATCTCTCTTTATTTTAAAGTAAGTTACTTTGTAAATCTCTCAAAGACACTTATATCACGTAGACTTTGCAATTAGTTAAATGGTATTTACTGAAATTGAGATATATACTTATATTTTCCCTTCTAAACAATATTTTTTGCAGAGCTTTAAAATGATTTTACCAGACAAAGGTTTTTAATTAGCATGGTTTTAATTCAATAAATAAATTTCATTATTTCATTTACGCACATTTTACTTTTAATTAAAATTTCGTAATCATCGGTGGTTGATAATAACTCCTCCGGGCATTTTTGACTTTGTTATATAAAATATTGATTACAAAGGGAAGAGGGAATTAGAATTTGAAACAGCCATGATGGTGTTACATAAAGATAGCTCCTTTTAATTAAATTCAAAATATTTAAGCCGAAAAAACTATTAAAATATGTATAAAAAATGTTGCTTTATGACTAAATATGCAGTTTGTATAAGAACTTGATTTATTTTAATATTTAATATTTTATTATTTATAGCTGTAAAGTCCTTTTGGTTTCTCCCAACTTTAGAGTTATGACGCCATTAGGTACGAGACTATTTTATTACTTGTTCCTCGAAACGATCAATCAGAGAGAACAAAATGACTCCATGCCATTGCTCACTTTCTTCATGCAACTTTTATAAGCCTCCAATGTGGAGTCACTCCAATTTGAGCTCAGTTCGTGCTGGGCTTTTTATATCCCCCGATGGTTTTGGTTCCGTTCCGTTTAGTTCAGTTGTTGTTGTGGTCACCAGCAGTGTCTGGATGGTCATTTTCCGGACTCGACTAAACTCCACTCTGGTTGCATACTAAATGCAGAAAAGTCTTCCGTATCCTCCCACTTTTACAGCGACTCTGGTTATTTTTCTGCCTGGCCATGAATTTTGCATTAGAGTTTAGTTAAAGTGCAGCTGGTGCGAATCCCAAAGGGAAAGGGATTTGGTGAGATATGTATGGTAAGCGTAGCGTTAGTCTTTTTTTACGGAATAGATATGGCGAGAATGGAAAGCCACTGTCAGGGCCATTAACTATGTAAGAGGGGGTGTGATTTAAAGAATTTAAATTCAGTTTAAGGGTTGATGGGAAAGTAAGTAAAGCTATAGCAAACAGAGCGAAACCTGATATTATGACTAACTGCTGCAAACAAATCATGAACTTAACAAAAACAATCATTTGTTTAATTGCATATATAGCTGGAAACTAAATTGTTTTGTCGAATTTAAATCCAAGGACTTTAAAAAGGAAACTATTAAGTTATATATACAAATAATCATATACATTATAATAAATAAATAACCATAAGATTAACTTGGGTTAAACTTTCCTCATATCTTTTACTATCAACACATAACAATTTACTTGTCAGAAAGTTATATTCAAATCATTAGTGTTTGTGACAGCTGCCGAGATAAGCTAATAGAGTGGGCATTTCCCAAGCCCGTTAATCTTTATATGAAACTAATCCTGAACTCAGTTTAGTCTCCAAATGAACCCAACTATTTTCGCCCCGAGTTGCTCATTAGTTTTCCCGATTGCCTGCAGGCACTGCCATTTCCCGGCTTTTCCCTGAATTGATAATGGGGAAATGTTCGAGCCAACCCCTGGAACTAAACTCCTACTGAGCGACAACAGCTGCGACAGAGTCCTGTTGTCCTCCTGCAAATGAATTATAGCAACAACAACAAACTTTTGCATTA